TTTTTTTTTTTTTTGTTTAATTCGAATTAGAAAAAGCGATTGATTTATTTCAAAAACAACCAATTCACGAACAAATTCAAGTTGAAAATTACGAACGATATTAAAAATGACGTAGTAAACGTCGTCAACAACGAAGGTCTTTGTTAAAACAAAAAAGATATGTTTAGATATTCAACAAGAAAAATATCAAATGAACATGTTAATCATATTGTAACATCAATTTTAAATAAACGACAACGAAATGTTCTTGAACAACAACAACAAACATTTATTTGAATAAATAGAGATTAATATAATAAACGAAATAATTATCTTCTAGACAACATTTACATAAAAAAAACGAACAATGTTTGTGATTTTGTTAAAGTTTGTTTGTTTGTTTTTTTAAATCCAATCTATTTTATTTAGTTGATCAAAAGAAAATATCCAGAATCCAATAAGAAAAGTTATTTATCCAAAAAAGAAAATTTCTATTGAAATAAATGATGATGATTTTATAACGATGAGAAAATGTCCTAAACTTCTTCATCAACCAAAAATAACATTCGTTTTGTAAGAAAAAAAATGATGCGATTAAATAATGTCTTGAATCAATTATAATAGAAATCGAAAATAATTCTATAACATATCCTATTTGTAATCAAGTGTTTATCCAACGTTAAATCCTATTGATCAACGTCAACAACATCTTTATCGATCTATTCAACCAACCTCAATTTATTAATCTATGTCATAGACGAATTGTTCCATATAATTCCTAGATTATCATGAAAAGACTTGATTTTCATTTACTAAAAATTTTTAGTTATGAAGGAACCACTCGAATTGATTCATCGCATTGAATTCCCATTTCTACCATGAGTTCGGAATCTTGAAACTAAAATAAGTGTGCAATAAGTTCGGCTCATGGCCTACCAATCTTGAGTTATGGACGTTTTTAATCAATGAGATTTTCTAAGAAGATATAACTAGACCTTATTCAAATATGATGAAAGTGTCAGAAGAAAAATGTCTTTGTTAAGATATTGAATTTGCAAAAAGTAGCCACGTTTCATAGTAAACGACATAATACGGAAATTTTTCCTAAACGTTATTCTATCGAGAAACGATAGATTTATTTTTACTAAAACTTTTACCGTATTCTAATATGATCTAGTTCTATTTTCTGGTGCAATCTTAGCTCAAAAATTTATCAATTATTTTTTTTATAAAACTAGCTTCCTCTATCAATAATCGATCAAGTCTTATATAAATATTTGATGTCTTGAGGTTCGAAACCCTTTTGCTAGAAATAGGAGCTCAAAAGTCACGAATTACTGAGAGCGGTTTCATCGTTTGAAGAAGACAAACAAGAGAGAATGTTGTCGATTTGAGACTATGCCTATCATATAGATCCTAAGGAACTCTCGCTATAATCGTCAATGAGACTAGTCTATTATGACAAATTTTATATTTTCAAGTTTATTCTATTCTTATAAACGAGTTTAAGAAAAAATATTACTTTTAACGATAATCACCAAATAATAATTATTTCATTTTCATATTTTTCGATAGGAACAATAAAAAAAAAATTTGAAATCTTTACAATAGACTAGTTTCATGAAGGCTTAACACTGTGCAAAGTTATACTGAGGAAGATCGTAGACATAAATAGAAATAAGCTAGATGTACAAACTCTTTTTAGAGTGGTGAGAGATCATTACGACCTATATTATGCACACAGTCTTTACTTTATTGTCATAATAGATTTGTCAAGTTTTTCTCATAACCAATACATGAAATGATTCTATTGCCGCATATATCCAATCTGTTTAATTTCAAATTCAGTTACACATGTGTCTTGAAGACGAAAAAATCGGATTGTTGAGTCTTATATTCTACCGAGCTTTTCTGAAATCCATTAACTGATATAACATCCTAATGATTGACTGTAAATTTAAATATCTATTTACCTATTCTAATTAACGATTGAAGCAAAACATTAGAAAACGTTTATTATCTTATACAAAACCTTCATCTACTACTATTCGACAAACCAACAACATTATCAAATTTGAAATGTTGTGGAATGTCATTTCATGTAAAATATACTTATTTATCACATATTAAACAAATGTTCCAATCAAAATAGTGTTCAATTAAAGTATGTTGTTAATTTCGCTGCTAAAACTACAACAAATAATAATAATGAATCAACAATCAATTACTACAATAAACGAAACAAATAGGAACCAATATTAACACAATTGAATTATTAACAATCGACAATACCCAACAACTAAAGATGATGAACAACAACAATTAGTAAAACTTCTTAATGGAAAAGAAAAAAAAATTTTTTTAAATTGTTATTTATTTTTATAAAAGGTAATCGCACATTCAACTTCAATTAAAACTGCTTGAGAATCTCCTTATGCTTTCGATATCCTTCAAGCTGCATCGAAAAAAAAGCAAAACAATAAAGTAAATATTTTTTTTGTAACGTTTTATCTATGAATGAATTCTATATTCTCAATTGAGTTTATTAAGAGTACCATTATCGAATGTCTCTATCGAATAGAAACTAAACACTATCTTAACATACCTTTATCAAATCTATGTCAACGTCTAATTACAATAACACCTTCAGAAACTTCATATAACTTTTCTTTAAGTTTCCGTTCAAGTTATATCTCAAACAAATTTTGGTAATGTCAATTGGTTGAATATAACAACAACTGATCCTCATTATGATCAAGTAACGAGTGACAATAATGATAAAATTTGAATGAATTTTTCTTTCGCTCACTTATCTCTAGTTGGATAAAGTTTGACGAGCTGACCACGAATATATTCTTTTTATTTTTATTCGATTACTATTTGCCGGGAAAGAACCGTACAAAAGTCGAATGACGAAAAATGCAGCATTGCTAGCTATGAACTCACGCTTTTCTTTTTTACAGAAATTCTCAAATTTCGATTATGTTATTTTTTTTAATAAACTTTTTAAAAAAATCGTTGTCCAATATAGATACCTCCAACATACTACATAGCATGTATGTACAGGTATTCTTGTAAACCTGTTTAGTTTTTTTTTTGTAACAAGATTGAGTTCCTTTCCGTTTGGTGATAATATTAGACAAAAGAATAAAAAATGTGCTCGTATTTATCAGTTATTATTACCATGATTCAGTTAAAAATCAAAATGGATAGCCTATTCAGAATAAGTGTGAAAAACTGCATCGAATCACATATATTTTAGAAATCTTTTTTTCCTGCGAAAAACCGACCCCTGGGAGACTAGGGGCAAAATTTCAGAACACACAGATCTCAAAGGGATCACAGGTGTTTTTTCATTGGACACAATCTTTACTAAAACATATATGATTCGATACATGTTTTAATGCTTATTTTGAATATGCTAACTATTTTGATTTTTAACTAGACCATGGTAATAAAAATCGCTAAATACAAACGCATTTTTCATTCTTTTGCCTAATGTTACCATCGAGTGGGAAAAAATTTCCAAAAACAGAAACCGAAAAAACTAAATAGGTACTTTTGCAGCTTACGAGCTGATGATTTTCATGAGATAAGACACTCGCTTCTATCTCTTATTACGGAAAAACTAGATGGGTTGACAAGAATATTCACAACTACATGCTATGAGACATGTCGAAGCTATCCATATTGGATGGGACATTTTTAACCTTATTAACTCTAAACCTAATCAAATAACATTTTTTCTATTTAGTTTTTGACGCTAAATCAGAATAAAATGTTTTGATAAATTTTGAAAAAATAACACAATCGAAATTTGACAATGTCTGGAAAAAAAAAGAAAGCGCGAGTTGATAGTTCTAACTTCTACATTTTCAATCATTCGAGTTTTGTACGGTTCTCTTCAGTCAAACGGTGGTCGATTAGAAATAAAAGCTATATATTCGTGACCAGCTCGTCAAGTTCTATACAAGCATATATAAGTGACGGAAGAAAAAAATCCATTCGAATTTTGCATTATTGACACCTTTAAAATATAATTATTTATTTTTATTAGACTTTTTTCAGATCCCGATGACAAAATTAGCTCGAATATTTGATGATAATGATGATGAACTAATGGAATGATTTCATCCAGTGACAAATCTTTTTTTTTTTCTACTTTTTTCAAAGAAAAAAAAAAAAAAGAAATTTTGATAATTTAGAGAAAAACAAAAGATAAAATAAAGATCAGATTTAATAAATTTCTTTTTCTTTTTTTTGTTGAGGATGATGATGATAGATGTTAATTAAGATAATGGTGATTATGATCGAACAGAAACGTTCTAGACTACCACCAATTTATATAACAAATGATTTAAATAATAGTAATGAAAAAGAAAATAGTTCTAAACGATACAACCTCAATCAAACAACAATCAATTATTATATTAGATCATAGTTTAGATCAACTAACAACTACAAAACAAATTTATTATCAACCAACTTATTTAGAATTTCTTTTTTTCTTTTATTACAAAGAAAAACTAATAAATTTTTAATTTTTGAAGTTAATAATTATTGGAATCAATGACCATTATTCGATAATGAATTAAATGAGGAACGTTTAAAACGTTTATTCTATATCTTATATTGATATAGCTCCGTTCTCCTCCACTTTCATATTATTTTATCTCCAAATAAACAACATTTCTACAACAACTGAATAGAATATTCTGAATATTTTAACTCCTCCATCATCATTCTAAATATCTAATCAAATCAATAATTCTAAAACGAAAAAAATCATTAACAAAATGAAAGAAAAAAAAAAGAAAGCAATGTCTGAATATCGACCACCATCACCATTTTCACCTAACACCAGATTATAAATCAATCAATATTGAACAATTAACAAAATCATGCTATACGTTATGGTCTATCAACTTCACAAGCTAAAGGACGACTTATTAAAATTCTTGATGAAATTTATAATTTTACTCATCAATATGAAACTGATACTGATTATCAATTTGATATGAATGACATTGATCTTAGAAAATATAATTCAAATAAAAAAGATTTATCGTCATAGGTCACCAACATCAGCAATTATTTCTGATGTTAAAAAAGCAAAACAACGAAAAGCTATTCATCAAATGACTTCTTATGATGAGGCTGATGAACATCCACCACTTCCAATTAAGAAACCAACTTCAATAACAACAGTAGAGAATAAAAATGATAATCAATTAGATGCGAATGATACAGATCATGAAGGTCGTTTTCTTGAACTTACAAAGTCCTTTCGGGACGGCATAAAACGTTCCAATATGACAATGTTATCTCATCAATTACTCTCTATACTGATCGGACGCGGTATTCTAATAAACGATAATCAGTATATAATATCAAACACTCGGAGATAAATAAGGATGTTATCTACACTTAATAAACATCTAATTCTCATTTTAACAAATAAATTATTTTATTCTACTTTTAAATTAAATTCATCTTTGTTATTTATTATCGTTATTTTCACTTTCTTTCTTTTTTTTTATTATTATATAAGAACTGATCTTTCATTTATTTTATTTTTTTTTATCATTAAAAAGTTTTGATTGAACTCGAATTATTTCAATTTAAGATGGTAATTAAATAATACTAACATATAATATCATTCTAAAATGATATATATATATAGATGAAAAATTCTAATCTGTTCTATAAAAATGAATATGCTCAATAAGAAAAGTTTTGAAAGATTTGTTTGAATAGTGATATGGAATGTATCATCTTCCATTATTGTAGAGTAGATAAACGATGAATCGAGTTGAATCATCTAAAATGGGGCCTCTCTCACTTGTCTAACTTCTATCAAGTGAAATATCACTGAAAAGCATGACGAAAATAAAATTATTTCTTCGAAGTCTTTTTCTATTGTGGAGTAAAATAGACCTCGAATATATTCTCTCGAATTTATTTCGATGAGAATATTTACTCTTAAATAAAACCTTTTTTATAAATATCTTCTTGTCAATAATTGTAGAAGTCCAATCAATTAAATATATAATAGTCGATTTAATGATTTAAAAAAGAAAAAATTTATTGATAATAATTGACGAGAGTATAGATTATTACGGAAATCGATTGATTTTCAAGATCGTACGTTCTATAAGAGGATCATCATTTTCATCCTAAATTCTACTTTGAATCGGACAGAGAAATGTTTTCTTCTTGAACAAATATTTCATATAGAATTTGACCGAATTGATTTTTAATTAAAAAAATTTTTTTATAGATATTTCATTTGCTTTTCATTGATAGAAAATATCTATGTTTATCTTCTGATATATTTGCTGCACTATCTTCTAATCTATGTGTCAATAGGTTATTTTAATTGTTGTCAACAGTAACGAATAAGTGCTAGAATTCTTAATAAAAATTTCTAATTTCAATTTGGTTTTGTTTGTAATAATATGTTCTTGCTTGATAACGTTGATCAGAGAGATTGATTGCTTCGGATAATCTTACTCTAATAATTAGATTAGAAATAATTCTATAAGGATAAATTGTCATTCCTATCTATCGAATTTCTATTTCTTATCTACTTAACATTTCAACTTAAACATCTCTAACTATCTACTAAACATATATGAATATGTTGAAAATATTAAGAATGAGAAATATTAGAAGCAATATTGTTATCTTCTTCCCTATAATATCACTTATTATATTTCAATTAATCTTAGTCTAGTTTTAACGGATTAATTCTTCCTACTAACCTTTGCAAAGTTGATCGAGAATTATTTTATTTATATTAATATATAAAAGTGAACACATACTTATTCGAGTCTAATATAACCTTTACAATTTCCAGAAGGTTTTTCCAGGTAACATTTAATATAAGAGAACGAATGAATTAGGCTCTTTTAATAGTATTAACACGGAAATAAAAAGGAATAGTGCTTTCAATTTCTAACTATGGTTTGCGCTATAGAAACGTTTGTATCGTTAATAAAAGAGCGGAACTTGTTTAAAATGGTATTTATTTTTAAAAAAAAAGTCGAAGAATATTTGTTATCGTTTGATGTTCAATTTGATTATGTGGAAGACAAATTGATTTTTGAATATCGAAAGATAAACGATTTTATATTATAGGATCGCGCAAATTTTTTAGAGTAGCGCTTCCAGAAAAAGATTTTATATCTTCTAACAGCCGAATATTTATTTTTCTTGAAATCTAATCTTTGTTTCTTATTTATGAGGAACTTCTATTTTTCTAGTTTATTTCATCGAATAAAACTATTGATGAAAGACTAGAATTAATGACTAGAATTATCAACCAATATATTCTCATAAATCTACTCTAAATTTATTTATTTGAAAACTTTCAAAACTATAACTATAATTCCATCGTGTTAAATCTCATCACTTTTATGGCTATACTTTTACTTTTACAGTTTAATCGTTATAGGATTGCCTTTTTCAAATCTATTTTATCCTCGGTCAGATCATATTATTTCTGTATCGTTATTTAACGATATCATACTTTACCTAAATATCTATCTGTCTATAATTATCGTTTACTAAATTAACTCTATTCTCAATCGGTAGATACTTTATCAGTAGCTCTTACATTTTAATATGGCTCGATGTTTATTGAAAATTGTGTCTTTTTGGCTGGCTGCCAGCTCATTTTGAACAGTAACAGTTACATAAAAAGAACTTTTGCAAATGAATTATACTCAGATATAGAGCTTCATATTAATAGTCAAGTCAAAATGACAGAACAATGTAAATTCGACAGAGTTTTTTAACTACTAAAAGTATATAATGAGTGAACACTGGATAAACGAATTAACATTTAAATCAGCTCTAAAAGATGATTTAACTTTAAATTAACTTATTCATTCAATAAAATTTTTTATTGGCATATTTTAATAGTCGGACATTTTTCCTTTTCTTATATTCAATCACACGTTTTATCATTCGTCGTATTTCATTTCTATATTTTTTCTTTCTTCTTTTTTCCAGCTATTCGATTTATCCGACTGAATACAATTAAAAAGATATTGTTGCATGTTCTGTACGGACGTGCATTGTCTGTCGGTTCATACATATATAGAGCATTTTTAGAATTTTTAACGTATAGATAAACAGAATTTATCAATATGATTACGACGACATTAGAAGATCTACCAAATGAACTATGGTTAGAACTTTTCGTGTATTTTACTTGGGAACAGCTGAGCTCCACATGGCTCGTGTGGAAACTTAACAATCGTATTCAAATGTTAGCTCAAGCGGCACAGACTCGTGTTGCTTTTGAAATCTCTTTGACGTCGTTTAAAACATATGGTCAGTGTTTGAATTATTTTCAAAACGAACATTCGACGTATGCTGATCGTATAACTTCTCTTGTATTCAATGAACCAATTCTATCGAATGAAATAGTCAGTCGATGGCTTCAAAATGGTGCTTCTTTTTTTCCACGTATTCGTCATTGTACGGTCTATTTTCATCTCGTCAATGAATATGTTCGATACAAGATTATTCGGCTCATCCATCAAAATGCATCGACACTACGTCGTATTATATTATATTTTGATAAGCTCTCAGAATATGGACAGATATTAAAACAAATCATTAAATGGGGCATCTCTTTACACACAATGCAGCTGATCCTTATTAAAGGTAGTATTAAAACATATTTTGGAAGAGTTTAGAGTATTTCTATCAATATTAATTTAGTCCAACGATCTTATACTGTGTTTCTTCAATCAAAGAAGAATATTATAGAAAACAGCCATTCTATTGGAAGATAAATGAGATTTTCAAGATAGAGAATGTGTTTATAACTAATTAATATTTTTAATTTAGTAGAATTGAACGCGAATGAGTAGACTAACAATGTATCCAATGCGAAAGATAATGCCATTGTTCATCTAATTTAGTAGTCAGATGTTTTTCAAAAAAGTATTTCATCAGAATAGTAAAATTATTTTGAATTAAAACCGATATGCAACATTTTTATGATGAAGTAAGACTGAAGCTAATCACATTATCGAAAGAGATGAATTCTCTTACTTGAACGAATAACTAGAAATAAAAAGTCGAAATGAAAAACAAGTTTATCACGATTCTGTCTAAATATTTCAAGTTAACTGAGAACAAAGATTTCGTATCCTGTTATGTCGAGAAATGACGTGATCAATGACTATTTTTCTCATTAGAATATAGATTAGAATTAGATCTGAGTTGATGCAAAATTCGTCAAATTACTTTCGTGAATTGATGATGTTGTTAAATTACTTTAGAACATTGGAAAATTTAACTTCACAAACTTGATCGATTATTACGTACAAAAAACAAGACCTCTTGATGATATTCGAAGTTTTTCAAGTTTAAACGCTCTAAAAAAGTGTGAATTTGAATATCTAAACATCGACATTAGTTGTCTGATGTTGAGGGTTAAAAGAATTTAAGTAAGTATTCATTTTTTAATTGAGATATCGTGCAACTCACCACATATTTTATGTAGAAAATGAACGTAAGATATCACAAATCTCGTTATGATATTTGAAATAGAAATACTTAAATCAATCGATTGGATTGGAGAGGAAGTGATTGAACTCCATACGATTTGTTAATGATGATCTTTTGAGTCGGACTCTGCCTCAAAGATATACTTTTATCCAAAAGTATAAATTGAAAATTTAATTTCTTATCAGAGAAAATATCTGATAGAAATATTTTATGCAAGATGTAGTTTCCGCGGATTGTTAATAGAAGATTTTTGAGAGTTCAGTTTAATAGAAATCTATCTTATTCGAATATTTAATCTGTTTTGCATCGATCAGATACTCTTTTTTCGTAAGTTAATGAAGTGTTTTAGAGGCTCGATAAATAGTTTCAAGAAAAATTTAGTTTCCATAAATGTGATTAAAGGAAAGATTTATGTCAGAACTAAAGTTCCATTTGTATATAAGAAGAAAAGACCTTTTCCCTTGTGCAAAATCGATCTTCAAACTTACCAAGTAAAGAAATATTCATTATTTATGAGTGATCTTTTTTGTTTTAGATGATACATGCCTTTGGTTATCGAAAGATTTAAACGAATATGTCACTAGTGAACTTGAACATTTCACATTTGCCAACACTGTTCATCTACGTCTCTCAATACAAAAAATATCTGATTTGTTACTACTTATGCAACGTAACACTTTACCGCGTATAGAATATCTTCATATTACATTGGAACAGCTACGATGTTTTTCGCATCTTTCTCGCTGTGATCTGCATAAAGATTTAACCTGTTCTACATTGTGTCCAAAAGATTTCAATTTAAAGCGAGCTGATATGACATATTTACGCACACTACATTTACAACATATATCCATCGGTGATATTATCGTTTTAATACAAAATCTAACATCAATGAGTCAAGTTGTGTCATTAATTTTAGTAAATTGTAGTGCTAAGGGTATGTATAGATAGTAAAAATATTGAGAACGTGTATGTTATTTCAGTTGATTAAATTTCTCTTTGTTTTTCTTATGTAGATAAGAATGAACTGATTACATTGAAAAACAGCATTAGAACTTTTTTGGTTTGTCTACGTAATCTTCAGTTTGTGATTTTTCTACCTGTTAAAACAAAGCTTGAAAAGATTGATCTTTACTGGTTTGACTTAAATCATCGTGCCGTTGAATATGAAATTAACGAAAGAATTTTACTTTACACGGTTCCATATCTGTTAAATAGTCAACGAACAGTGTATAATCATACATTTGGAGGAGAATCAACAATCAATAATAAGATCAATCATATTCAATGGACAGTTGATTGTATTCCTTCGTCGATCAATAGCACTCTTACTCAGTTTCAATATGTTAATTCACTCGAGTTATATTATGATATTAAAGTAAGAAATGAGCGAATTTCTTTCTAATGACAGTCTCGCTTATTTGAATTTTTCAGGAAATAATTCCAAATCCATGTTCCTGGCATATTATATTACCAGCTTTGCGTTATGTTGAACTCAATTTTGATTGGAATATAATAAGAATTAAGAATTTCATTGATAGATCTGTTACACCAATTTATAGTCGTTTTTTTATTCTTGATCAAATACGTCGATGTGCTCCTTTGCTTCAGTGTCTGACACTGGTGGCATGATCTTCGGCCGTTTCTTACATATTCTCATTTACCTTGGCCTTCTATTCAACAGTTAAATATTCGTTTAAGAAGACAGGATAATCCACCTGCATCTCTAATCAAACGTTTGCCAACTAATCAAGCTTTTCCACAATTGCAATATCTTACATTTGGTTCTCGTCGTTTCATGCTCACACCACCAGAACTAGTTGCTAAACAGATTTTATCATGGCTCGATGCTCTCCTATTTCCTACATCAAAATTAGTCATTTTACATTTAAATAGACGTTGTTCTTTTTTTCTAACTCGTCCTCCAACAGCTCGTGACGTGTTCAGAATGCTTCTCGATCAACATGTTCAATCGATGAATCATCATTCACCAGCAAAAATAATTATCGATTCGAACGAAGAAGTCATTATTTGGCTTTAAATTGAATTTGTTTTTCAAAGAAAATACTTCGTCTATATTTATTTACAAATTACTTATAAAATTAAATAAATCTAGTTCTGTTCATATTAACCTAAACTTAACTGCAAGAAAAGTCAAAATAGCTATTAAATTAGTGTATTTTTAATTATACAATTTCCAATCATAAAATAATTCTCTAGAGCAAATATTTAATCATTTATTACTTTTTATGCAAAGATGCAATCTATCAAATTTTTCTAACATCTTAAAGTCTAAATTGTTTTAAACAATTTGTATTATCGAAAATCATAAAGCTGCACGTATAGTTCTTTAATCAAGTTCAAACAATGAATTTTCTTTTTCATCGAATATTTTTATTTATTTAAAATCAACATTTACAAATAAAAATGTATGTATACACATAGACATTATCACCATAAATATGATTTTGAATCGACATAGTTTGAAACACAATCAACAGGCAGTGTGTAAGTATTTATAACAACATTCAAACGTCGAAAATAATTCTAATACAAACTTAAAGGACAATGAAATTAGATGACTCGTACAAGGATTAACTGTTTTTAATTCCATATCTTTCAAAAAGGTCAAAGTGCTCTTCGTCGAATACTAAATCATAGAAGCAGAGATGACCGAAATTCGATAATATAGTTTTGACTATGTTCGATGATCTCGTTGTCGATGATATATACGTTCTATAATGTGATCATCGATGATCCTTGTTTTCGGTATTACCAAAACTATTTTCGAACTATAAATACGATATTGATTCTAGAGATGTGCAGGGTAAGCTTTTTTCATACCCTGACCCTCCCCTGTGGAGTTTTTCTTCACCCTAATCCTATCCTACCCTACGCCCGCCTCACTCTAACCTTACCCTACCCTGCATTTTTTAAATTTTAACTATACTTTCCGATACAGGGTAGGGTAGGGTAGGGTTTAGTTGATTTGCATACCCTATTGCAAAGTTCGTTACCCTAACCCTACCTTACCCTATAATTGTCTTACCCTAACCCTACCCTACCCTGTAACTCTCATACCCTAACCCTACCCTACCCTGCAGGGTAGGGTAGGGTAACCCTGCACATCTCTAATTAATTCTACTTATAACAAGAAAAATTTCTGATTAATTAAAAATGTGATTAGCCTGAACTTGTTGTAAAAAGAAGATATAAAACTGTATTTCATTATCTCCTAAATGTAATATTGGCAAATGAGCATGATAGACAAAGATCTTGGAAATTAAAATATGTTTTTCAATCAAATTTGACATGACATTATACTATTTCAAATGATGTGATTACCCAGAAAGTAAAAGTTCATGTGAAACTATATGAGCTCATGATACAAAACATGAAAAAAGTCATTTTCGTCGTGATCAACCTAATCTAGTTCATAGAGGTTTTGACAAATCTATTCAAGATTTTGAAACTGTTTTCGATGTCAATCCATATAATAATGATGAAGCCAAAAGTCAACTTGAAGAATTACATAAATTCAATGCAAAGGAAATATTTAGTTTATTTTTAAAAACGCTGTACAAAAAGTACATTACAAACAAGATTAGAAATTATCTTTTTCTTTATTTATTGAATGATGAAATAAATCAATTGGGAAGAGTAACGAAATGTTATCTAAATTTACTTTATTTAAGATTTACCAGTAATATAGTTTGTTAATTATTTTTAGTTAGAAGTCCGGATAGAGTTCCCCGGTCGAACTAACCCCATCGGATCCGTCACTATCCGACAATTTCCGATAGGATTCCGACTGTGGAAAACCATATTTATCCGTTAATTTCCGACGATTTTCGGCGTTGGATTTTCGCGGATTCCGACGATAGGATCCGATGAGATCCGACTATCGGAAATTGTCGGATCCAATGAAATCCGACTATCGGAAATGGTCGGATCAGATAAAATCTGATGACATAAAAACATCTAGCTTTTCCTATTCTAGATTGCAGAATAGATGTGAACTAGGAGTATTACTTTATATTTACTTTATGAAATAAAGATGAAGACAATCTTTAGATTTATTAAATAAAGACAAAGAAATTAGAAAATCTTTATTCTTTATAAAATAACGATAAATATAATCATTATTGTTATCTTATAGAGATAGCGATAATCGTTATCATTACCAAGTAAAAATAAAGAAAACCTTTCTCGCTACCGAATAAAGATAGAGAAACTAAAATATCTTTATTCTTTAGAAAACTAAAATAAAGATAATTGTTATATTTATAAAATAATTCATAATCAATTTTTTTTTGTATGAAAATCTAATATTGCATCGTCCCGAGATAGCTCATAAAAAAAATAGCATCATAGATGCAAAAAAGAATATAGACAAGATATTTTGTATAAAACTTTTTATATATC